CAGGAGGAAAAACCCTGAGGTGCAGACTGCAATTGGAGATGGCAGGGAAGACCTGGAACTCAGAAGCAAGGGAATGTGCTATGCTTACAGAAGCACCAAGCTGGGATCAGTGAACTTGGATCCTTCTCCAAACTTGCAGCTCAGTGACCCTCAAAAAAGGACACTCTTACCTTTCTTTCAGCTATATTTCTATCTGGGATTTATTTTGGACAAAACAGGGACTTAACTTTTTTTTTTTTTCCCAGAGAGGTATGCAGTCATCCCAGCATTTATTGAATCCATCTTCTCATTACAAAGAACTGACTCCTTTGCAAGCTCATCTATGTAAAAAGACATTTTCATGCCTCTATATTATACCAGCTTTCACTACCAAGAACACAGAACCCATCTGCAGGAATTACACCCACTTCAGATACACTAGTAAAATGAGACCTTCTCCAGGTCTTACAAAACAACATTTCTGTCCTGCACATTTTCATATAATACCAACTGGCTTGTCAGTTACCAACATAATTGGAACAGTAGCAATTTGATAAGGAAGGGAATACAGGATTTTAAAATTTATTTCTATTTATGTACTTTACAGGGCTGTTATAAAAGAATACAAAAACAATTTCAGAATCTCCCTCCAACAGTCAAATCTAACAACACTTTTAACTTGGGAATTTATAATGCATTTATTTAGAATAGGTAAGCTGCAGTACTTACAACACATGTAACAGAAGGTTTCACTGTACAGTCAAAAGTGACAGGCTTCCCATAGACACAGGAGAAATTTGTAGCACAGTCTATACAGTCTGCAGGAAGTCTGCTACATAAACCATTGCTTGGACACTTCATCATATAGGGTGGGATTTCGGTACTTTCTGTGAGAGGTGAGAGAGTGGCTTATTCTCTCTTGACACTGATCAGAATAACAGGAAAACAATTTTTCTAAGGTGAAGAGACACAAACATTAGCAATGAGACACTACGCTCGAATGCAAAAAGCACTAAGTTGGAGTCAGAGAGACACCTACAATTAAAGTATGGTTCTGCCACCAACCAGCTGTATGACCAGGTGGGCAGCATACTAGTAAAAAGTATTTCAGTCTTGCCTCCCAAGTGGCCATGAAAATTGAAGATGCTCATGTACAAATAATGTAGAGAAAATGTCAGATGCAAGTTAGCAGCTCAAAAAAATCTACCATTTATAAGATGAAAAACTAAATCTTAGACAAGGTAGGAGTTATGAAAAATCTCAGGGAATCTATAGTACAAATGAAGCCAGAATTCAAATCTCTCCATTTCCAACCCAAAATTCTTTTCATTCAAATTTACTGAATAGGAAATGAAGCCACTGACACCTTTGGTGTACCAACTCTAGAAAACACTTTGTCATTATTCCACACTGATATTTCAATAAGCCATATTTGCTAATATAGTATTTATATTTTTATAACAAGGTTCAAATTAATTCCATATTTTAATAATTTTTTTCAGCAAGTTGCAACTTTTTTTCCCAATCCAAACAATGGGGCAACACATTTTTAACAGTTAATAGAACATAAAAGTCACTAGCATTAATGAGAAGAGGGGTTTTCAAAAATGTGTAAAAGAGCCAAGAATTCTTGCGTTTTCTCTTTAAAAAAAAAAAAAAAAATGCATCTTAAATCACATTCAATCAACTTTCACATTCAAAAAGGAAGCCTAAAATACCTCTTCCAGTTTTGAGTCATTGGTATAATGGAACTCTAAAGGAATGAAACTACTTTCCATTTACCAAACACCACTGTATTAAGCAGTCAATCTACAAAATACAATTTTCTTTTCTATTGTTCCTATTTCTACATGGCTGGAGTCTGGACACTTTAGAACCACAACTGCTTTCAGGCAGTTGGGCTAATCTCACAGCCTGAATGGAGAGGAAACAAAGGCCCAAGAGGGGTGAGTAATTTCCTCAACTTCCCAATAGCACCATGAGACTCAAGACTTCATGTCTCCATTAATCCCTCTCATACGCTTCCAATTCATACAGCATTGGGGGGCCTTTTAATCACCAGCAGGAACTGAGTGCTAGAAATAGAAGGAATTTTCTGAAGGGAAAGAAGCACTGGTTAAAGGTTACTTTGATCGAGGAAGTGGAAAAATAACAGAAATAAGACTGAAATGAGAAGCGTGAGGTTGGAAAAGAGATGAGGTAGGAATGTCAAAAGGTATTCAAATACCAAAGCTGTCTACTGAAAATGGCTGTGTATCTGCCCGTAATTCACATAACCTAAGATACAATACACAGTCAAAAATTAAGTGACTTCGTATACTAAAAGAAACTGTATCAAAAACAGAAAGAAACTACTGTATATAAAAAGGCACATTTACTAGAATAGAAAACGTCTAGTACCTGCTGCCCTGGGAACTACTGTGAATGTACGTGTTGGGCCCGGATCCTTTATTGCCTGAGCCAGCGGCTGCGAATGCTCTAAATTTAAGGATCCTACAATTAGAGAAACACGTTATCCCGGGATATGAAAACCTTGGTTTGTGTGGTTAACACGCAAGTACTACACCAAGCCAATAACTGCTCTTGAAAACCTCAGGGTCTGACTTCCCCAAGACAGAGAACTGAAAGGGCGCATCACCAATAGGGTCTACACCGTTTCGAGTCTGCAGGTAACAAAGGCGGTTTCAAGTTGGGTTTCTGTTTCCCCGGCGGAGCCACGGAGAGTTCCCTTTCAGCTGGAGGGTTCGGTAGCGAGGTAGCTGAGCACAGGCTCCGGCGAGGCATCCAGGGCACGCCAGACTGCAGCTACCCGCCGCCCGCCGCCCAGCACGCAGCCTCTGTGGTCCCGGCCCCAACGCTTCTAGCAGCTCCTGGGACCCTCTAAACTCTCAGCCCGCCCTGGCGCGACCCCCGACCTTTAACTCACCACCACCAGATAGAATGTAGAACTGCGAGAGGAAGAGCAGCACGCGACACAAGCGGCGAAGGCGCAGGAGCGGTCCCGCCGCAGCTGCCATCTTGCCGACGCGCGCGCACTTCCGGGCCGGGGGGCGGGGTTCCCGGCGCGCGCCTAATGGGGGCGTGTCCGGGCGCGGCCTGAGAATTCCGGGGCGCAGGCGCTCTGAAGCTGTGGTCCCGCGCTAATCTACGCCGTCCCCTTCTTCGCCGCACCCGCGGAAGGTCACCTGGAGGAGTGCAATCGCCTGACCCGGTGAAAATGCTCGGTCCCCTAGCGTCCCTCACACTGATTAGACGCGTGCCCCGCCTCCTCCTTCCACTGCAGGAGCCTGGGAAAGGATCGCCATAGTACCGAAATTCACCCGAGGTGACTGAAGGTAGAGGCGGAAATTTGGGAAGTTAGGCACTATATTCAGGTAGTTGGATGCATACGTTTAGAGATAAACGTTGCTACTGTGTGCTAGGTACTGTGCGAAGGTGCTGGGACCACATTTCATAACTGGCCCTGCCTTACTAGCCAACTCCTTAAGGATACGTGGTATTTAGAGAAAATTCCTGTACGACTGGGAAAAAGCCCGATGTGGGATTTTTCACGCGAAAGGAGGGTCCGAGCACAGCCTCTCCCCGAAGGCGACCAGCCTAGGGTAAGGAAGGGAACGCTTTACCCACCTATGTCTGTTCCCAGCACAGCAGACGTCTTGGGGTGCCTCTCTATTCCACCCCTCTTCACCCGCCACAAGATCGTTCACTTTGGGGTCTTCAGGCTGTCCATGAAATAGGCCGAGTTCGGGCCCCTCTAAAACTGAGAGCAGCTTCCTCATGCTGAGAGAGTAAAGGCTGAGGATCTGACCCCCCACCCCCCCCCCACCCCCTCGCGTCTAAGAGACACCAAGGAAGCCCACAATGCCAAATTGTTCCCTGCCCTGCCCTCTAACGTAGGCTAACTAAATCTGCATATGGGTATTTCCTAATTTTTGTCTCACTTTGCCTGCCTCTTCTCTTTTTTCAAAAGCTGTCTTTGTCCTCAGAGCCTCTCAAGATGGAATTGTGAAATAAAAATTTTCTTCTAACTTCCTTCAAAGCTGGCTTTAAATAAAAAACCTGTTTTCCTACCAATTTGAATATTTTGGGAGCAACCAGCAGCGGAGTAGCCTCTTCTCCAGGGCTGTATTACTGTCACCCTCTAACACCCACTCTTTCACTTGCACTTTTGATGAGTGAAAGAAGAAAAAAGAACACGGAATAACACCTGGCACATGCTTTAAAATTTTTATCACAAGGTACACGTATTACTACTACACAGGCCTGACATATGACACTTTGTTTACCAACTATTTCACAGTTCACATTCCTCAGGAAGTAAAAATCAGAAATCATTTTGAGTCTATAAATCAATAAAATGTCATTCCCAACAAAAAAGCAATTTAACTCTAGGTGAGCATCTTACTGGTATAAGCCCAAAGCCGAAACAAGGAAACACTGTGTGATGCATTTTATTGGGGAATTCATTATTTCTAAAGCTGAACAAAGCTTAATTTTTAATTAGAAGCATTAAAACTGCAACTCTTAAACTACAATGCAAATAACAGATTCCACAACACTGAATTTCTTTGATTTTATGAGTCCTTTGTCAGTAATTCAATATTTATTAATACCTGCTTTACTTATTGTTGCCGGTTAGTTAAAAAAATTAAGTAATGATTCCATTTAAATGAGATAAAGTTTCAATTTTAACTTAAAAACAGCCATAAAAATATCTGAGACATAAGAAAATAAGATTTCCCCTCAAAGTCAAAAAGGCTTTGTGGACTTTTAATGGAACCTATCTTTTTCCCCCCTTTTTTCTTAGTGCTGGGGATAGAACCCAGGTCCTTTTGAATTCTAAGCAAGCGCTCTGCAACTGAGCTCTATCCCTAGCCCTGAAGCCTATCTGCTGAAAATCACAAGTCTTAGCAATAACTTCATATATCTCATTTTCTAGTGTTTCCATCTTTCAATGAATAATATCTCACTATTGAGGTCTCTGAAGTCATTGATTGCTTGGAAATTTCCCAAGCTTCTCTTCTTATCATCTTCAGAACACATTAATGAATTAACTTTATACATATATGCTAATCATTCACTGTGACCCATTTCAACTGATCCCATGAGTGGATCCATCAGTGGGTCCAAAGTTCTTAGAAGTTCTAACATGTTAGTTAGGAAAAATACATTTGCAAAGGTCAAAATAGATTACATAGAAGCAAGTACAAGGAAAGCACTTTAAAAGTCTTCCTCAGCATTTAGTGTACGTGATTTCTTGAGATTCTTCAATTTATTAATGGCAGAAGTTACTGAAATCTCTCCATGAATTTTGTTGTCTCTTGTTCGAACATTTACAGCATTATTTATCTTTTCTTTTTCTCCAACCACTGTAGAAAGGAAAGGAAATAAATCAACCATTAAGTCAAACGTGGTATTATGAGTCTAACTGAATTTTTCTTCAGTATTAGTCACTAATTATCTATCTAATGGTCATTAAGTTCATGCTTTAGCTGAGTGTCTTGAGGTAAGGAATGACTTCTAATCACATCTTTTTACTGCTCACTTGAGAATACAGTATCGTGGCCATGGGGCATGAATTAGAGCAGGAAATATTACAGATCCCCTGACTCTACCTGGTGGTACTTGATAAGTCAAAAGATGCACACAGACCCATGCTGGCCAACCAGAATTTTCTGGGATGTGGGCAAAAAGCTTGTTCTCGGTAGTAATCCATATTGTGAGATGATAGCAGGAATCTGCAGCCATGTTTCTTGCCACACAAAAGGAACAAACTGGTCCACTGATAATTTCAACAAACTAGATACTCAAGTGAAGCATAAATGACTGGTGCAAAAACAGGAACCAGAAATGGGGAGAGATAATCCTTGTAAGGGCTGAGGCTCCTGGTTACTTTTCTAATGGTTTGGCTGTTTAGGTCTACTTTTCATGACATGGGTACCCCTCTGATAAATCTTTGTCTAACCTAATTTGAGATTCTGTCACCACAATGAGCCTGATTAAACAACAATACCTACCACAGAGTCAAACATTATCAATGAACAACTGTCGATAGGACAACTTTATGCATATTGATTGTGTTTTCTACTACTCTTTCAGCTTATGAGAGAGAGAGCAATACCATGCCTGCAGGCATGTCAATATCAGTTTCTCTTGGTTATACAGGTTTACAACCAAAATTTTACATTCTGTATCCAATTACTCATGTTCCTTAAGGTATTTTTTTTTTCACCTTAATTCTTTTCTTTTGAAAATTTGGAATCTTTCTCATTCATTTGTTTAATTCCCATGATTTCTAATAAACCAGCAGAGCAAGGGAAAATATTTCAGTTCTGTCACATGGCTGAAACATAAGGAGAATAATTCTACTGAAGAGGTTATTTTCAAATTTCTTTCATTTTCATTTGAGATGTTCACTATTGTTAATAATACTATACAATAGGATTCATGTGGAACTTTATAAGTCTTCATCCAGCAAATAACAGAGGACCTAGCAACAGCTAATCCAGGACTCTTCTTTGTACATAGATATTAAACAGTCAAACTGTCATAATCAAGTAGTTATGCCATAGTCCTTATTTTGCCTTTTTTAAAAAATTAAAGCAAAAAAATATAAACAAACTGAAAAAATATAAACAAATTTAAGTTACCCAAAATAAAATTATATTGAGCCAACTGTGCATTTCTTATTTTCTTATTCAGTGTACAACTGTCATCTAAATCAACATCGGCCATAAATCCTTCTTCAAAAAATTCATTGGATACCTGGAAGAACAAGGAATACTTTCATTATTACATTATTTTTGGTAGACAGACTGACTCTAGGACAGCCCTCATTATTCCCATCTATTCATACCCCTGTGTAGCCCTCTACCCTGTATCAGAGTCGGTCTGTTACCCACAGAGGAGGGCAGAAGTGGTGGTAGTACACTTCTGAGGCTGGGTTATAAAGGACTACATCTCTCACTCCCCAGATCACTCAAGCTGCCATGTTGTGAGGACATTCAGGCAGCCTAGGAAGAAGTCAATAAGGTAAGGGGCTGAAGTCTATGTGAGTAGCCTGGAGGACTGCAGCCCTGTGACAGCCTGACTGCAGCCTCATCAGACACCACACCAGAATGCACTAGCTATGCTGCTCCCAGATTCCTACCTCGAGGATGCTGAGATAATAAATACTTGCTGTTTTAAGTTGCTCAGTGTTAGGGAAATTGTTATGCAGTAACAGATAATAAGGTATTCTTCTCTAATAGAACCATATGGAAAATAATAATTTAATTATGTTTTGAAATACTAATTTTTCAAAAACACTGTGATTCAACTACATGGATATGACCCGTGTTACTTCCAATAACTGAAAACTTATTAAATTAATGTGTTAGTTATACAGTATTTTAAAGCAGGAATGACATTTCAAGCCAATGACCTACACAGAATACATGGCAAAGTATTAGGTACTTCAAATGTCTCTAATTTTACCTGAACTGCATATTCTTCACAAGTTGAACCCACAGGGATGACCATCACCTGACGAGGAGATAGCCAGAAAGGCCTGAAAAGTATACATTTTCAAAATCATTTCAAAATGACCACTTATTCTGTGATTAAAAAATAACCAAAGATTTTTTTTCAAGTATGGCTTTACAAGAGAGCAATTTCAGTGGAATGGTGTAGAAGCAAACCAAACCACATTAAGAGTTAAAAGGCAGTAGAGTAGACAAAAGGAGAAACCTGGAATTTTGATAGGAAAAGAGAAGGAAGAATGGGTTGGAACACAGATGGAAGGTTAATCACATACTTGTGCTTCTGGGCATTTATCCCAAATAAATGAAGACTTATGTTCACATAAATCCTGCACACTAACATACATAGCCGCTTTATTTGTAATAGCCAAAAGCCATAAATACCCCAAATATCCTTCAGCAGGAGAATGGTCAAATTTTGGTGCTTCCACACCATGGAACATCATTAAGTAAAAGTGAACCAAGTGTTGGTACTTGACATAACACTGATGGATCTCAAAGGAATTCCACTGAGTTAAAAAAAGCTGATCTGAAGAGGTTGCATACTATATGATTCCGCGTACTTGACAATCTTAAACTGACAGCATTATGGAAATGCAGAACAGATTCATGGTTTCCAGATTGGTGGACAGGAGTGAGCTAGAGCATTAGTGGGAATAATAAGAATAGGAGGGTCCTTATAAGTGAGTCTTGACTGGCAGCAGTTATTCCATCCAGACACTGTGATAAAAACCTTATAGAACTAAGCACGCACACGTGTGTGTGTGTGTGTGTGTGTGTGTGTGTACAGAAACACACACTCTCTTAAATGAGTACAAGTGAAAGTGGTGAAATCTAAATGAGGTTGGTAGATCATATCAATGCTTATTTCCTAGGTTGTGATACTTAAATTCGGCAAGTGTTGCCATGGGGGTGGGTAGAAACTGGGAAAAGACTATGCTGCACCTCTCTGTATTGATTGTGTCAAAATGTAATATTTTTTAAAAAACATGGAGGGGTAGGTAAAAGCAATGTTTGATGTGGACATTTGCCTATTTCTTCATCATAATTTGTAGGTGGAAGGGTATGCAATGGGGATTAGTCCCAGACAGTTCTTTATGAATGTGCATATTTATATATTTTTTCTTAAACTGTAGAAATAAAATAACATATGATGGACATAATTAAACATTTGATGAAAAACAGAGTGTATAACATGCTCTGGCCTCAGTCTGTCCCCAGTCTTACTTTCCCCAGAGAACCACATTTTAACTGTTTTTACTTTTAGTTTTTGGAGACATTTCCCTCACAGGTCAGCTGGTGTCAGAAATCTTGGTCCCTGTGAGGAGGACAGCCCATACCACATACTGGCACCACCTCCTGTCTCCTACTTCATCTCCTAATTCCACTAGTTATCTTTAGTTGTTTTTTGTTTGTTTGTTTTTGCCACTTTCACACTACCATTTTAATGTAAGACACCATCATTTCAACTGGATTTTAAATTAATAACATGGACATTCCTTCACCAAGTTCCAAATCACTACATGGCCTCTGGGGATACAATTTGCCTTCAGTAGTGATACATACTGATCCTAAGGTATGGTACCATCAAAATTATTTTGAAGGTAGAAGGGAATACGATTGGGACTATTCCCAGATGGTATTTTATGAATGTATGTATTTATGTATTTTTCTTAAATTGCAAAAATGAAATAATATATATGGTAAACATAATTACATATGATAAAATACAGAATATTGGGTATAAAAGAAAGAAATATATACATATTAACTCACACTTAGTATCTATATTCTTGCCTATATTTTTGGCTTCTGTATAATTTTAATAGCTTAAAAGCTCCATGACACCACAATATATTTCTCCAAGGTCATAAATTAAATATCTCAGATATACACAGACTCTCTAATTGCCCAGTACTTTTGGAAGACACTCAGGGAAATTTCCTACCTTATGATTCCTGCTCAGAAATTTTCTTCCCTGCCCTCTCTTGACATGAACACTAGAATGCATGTGTGGGAACTAGTTTGTGGAAGATATACAAATACAGCACCCTGACTATAATATACATACATATATATATATATATATATATATATATATATATATATATATATATTTACTCATATCATGAGTAAAGTGGCCAGTAGGTAATATTCATATATATTATATATATATTTTAGTTGTTGATGGACCTTTATTTATTTATATATGGTGCTGAGAATGAAACCCAGTGCTTCATACATGCTAGGCGAGCGCTCTACCACTGAGCTACAGCTACAGCCCGTCACAGGGCTTTTGAGGAACCTGTGACAATGACTCTAGCATTGACATCCAGTGTCCAGTATCCACAGTCGAAGCTACAGGTATTATGCCTAGCAATAATAGTGGTGGGGGCTGTAGATCCTGAAGGCAGAATCAAACTACATGAGCAAATAGTCAGTTTCTTAAACACGGGATGGGAACCAAAAATGGCTGGTGTGCCGCATTTTCACAGGTTGTAGAATGCACCTTCACGGGATGTGGGCTGTAACTCCAGGTGCGGCTGGCTACTTCTGAGAGCAGTGATAGTGAATTCAACAATACTGGCTCAGGCCTTACTTCTTGGCTATAAATTACTTCACAGTGCTGCTGGCAGAAAGCATGGTAGGAAAGAAAAACAAAGCAAAATTCAGAGTAACTGTCTTCTATGAAAAGAAAGTGAACTTTGCTATCTTTTCTGGCACTGGCACTTGCTGAAAGGGATCCAATGTAATCAAACTGCCACAAGACAGCTGGCTGCTCCCCCTGGGTTATGGTACCATACTATGGGATCAAGATATATCATTACCAATGGTAAATTGGGTTCCCAGAAGATATGTAGTAATATAGAACTTGGTAAGGGAATGTCCATGTTATTGAGCTCATGCATATCACCTACTGGCCACTTTATTCATGATATGAATAATTATGAGGGACAAAAAGAAGTTGATGATAACTGAATGGGCCCTCTTGTATAGAATGCTGAAACTCTCTTCAACAGTGAGGACCTTACAGTGGGCAATACCACTTTCATGGCCCATTCTGAGGAATCATCCATAAGTCCTCTTCCCTAAATCTATCTGGCATTTATTTTTCCAATCTAATTATTTCTATATCTCTGGTCTTGTGGCCAAAGCAGTACCCAGAGCCCTACATCAATGTAAAACTTCAGACCTCTGGCCAGTTTTCCTTCCAGGCAGAGGGGACCATAGGATGTACCATTCTACATTCTGCATTGGAGAGCATTTTCCTTTTCCGCAGTCATCCCTTGATTGGACTGTGATGCTGTGGCCATTCTCTCTGGGTTTATACCAGTGTATTATTCAGCTATTTATGGATCAGGTTTCCATGTTTTCTTCCCAGACAATGGTCACAAGAAACACCCAAAGGTAAGCAATACAAACTGAACAAGAGATGGCAGTGTGACAAGAGACAGTACCCTGGGAAACTGAACACGTGTTTTCCAGACAGTAAATGGATCTTTGACAGGCTTAACACAGGTGAAAAGATAACTCTTTAATAGGACTGAGTTTCCCAAAGGGAAAATAGTGCAATTTTATGTCACTCTGTTTTTGCTTTCTTTGTTTCTGTTTTCTGATCTGGCAAAAGGAACAATAATTCTTATTTATTCTTTGCATACCTGCTAATTATAAAAGTGGGAGCTGCCATTTTTCCTACCAATTTAATGTTGTTAGCCATGATTTTTAAAAATAAGAGACATCTAGCTTTTCTCTTTCATGTCACTTACCATTTCCCCCCATAGTTTTCTGCAAGAATGGCTATCATTCTTTCCACTGATCCCAACACTGCTCGGTGAATGATCACAGGTCTCTTCTTATCATCCCCATCCTTACTAAAAAATGAAAATTATACATTTGAGTATTTTTCTAAAATTAGGCAATAACTTTATTATATTCTTACCTTATATTTAATTTTGTCTATAGATTTAGATTAGTGTTTCTGGGTATCTTTCCATTGACTATTTCTTTAGTGGCTGTTTTATTTCCTCAAAACAAAAGATTGCTTTGTCTTTTGTTTCATTATTTTTAACAAATTTTATTAGACAACACTTAACACATACAAAAGTTCAGAGAGTAATGCAATCAATTCCCATATTCTCTTTCTTAAATTCACAGGCAGTTTTATCTGATCCTATGTACCCCATTCCTGCCACTACTGTGCCCACATAGTAAACCTAATTTTTCAAATTGTTTTTAATATTTGTTCTGGAAGTCCACTGGTCAAATTCCTTTCATAGACCTAAAACCTTCATGACACATGTCTTACATTTAATGATCTACTCCCCTTTAGAAAAAAATAGAAAAACAAAGTATGACTCTTAATCAAAATGAAGTAACCACCCTGAGATCTATGTGCACATTTCTCAGAAAGATAAATTTTACTTCACTATAACAAATATAATAGGTTCTTATGAGAAAATTTTATCTACAAATTGTACCAGCTAGGTACTACTAAAACATACACAAACCAAACAAAAACAGAGACTAATTAATTAGCTTTACTTCAAATGAAGTAATATTGGATAACATCTCCATCAATAATTTCTGCTAAGGGAAATTACCTTTAGATCAACGTCAAACAAAACTCCCTGTCTAGATCCCTCAGAAAGTTTTGGGGTGAATGAATGGCTTCAATCCAGCCTTATGCAGACATATGTAGAAATCATTTATCTCACAAACTTAAACCAGCATGAGATATTCCTGAATGATATATTATGTTGTTTTCTATAGGAAACGAAAGAGAAGCAGGATAGCCCCTTCAAAAAACCCTGGTAACCAGAAATTTCTGTCCCATGATTCATCAAGTGTAGACTTAACGGCAGTCAGTGACACCAACTCTGCTTTTATCAAATAAACATTAGAATGAATATCGAGTTTCCCCCAAAATAATCTCAATGGATTTTCACAGATCATATTAGATTCATAGATAAATTAGAAGATATTATCTTTACAATGTTGATTCTAAGAATGTTGTGTGAATCTTCATTTAAACAATTCTTTACTGACTTTTGATAAAATGTTATACTGTATACTTTGTAAATATTATGTATTTCTATTTCTTATTAAGTTTATTCTTAGATATTTTGCATTTTGTTGTTTCTGAAATGTTTTTTACATTACATTTTGAGGCAGGTTATTACTAAATGGATATGAAAGCAAATTGAAATTTGTACTTTGTGCTTACTGCTTACTAATAATAACTTACTGTATTATTAGTCCCAATTTTTCTCCATCTGATTCTGTCAGATTTCAAGAATTTTGGGTTGTTTTTGGCAGTTGTAGGGGTTGAACACAGGGCCTCACAAATGGTAGGCAAGTGCTATACCACTGAGCTGCATCCTTGGCCAATTTCTAAACATTTTAACATTTACAAATAATAACAACTTAGTCTCTCTCTCTTTTTTTTGAATATTTGTACTTACAGAATAATTCTGAGTAATGGTACAAATTGTAGGCATAATCACCTTCTTCTCAACTATATTGAGGGGTTACTATTGTTTTTTGATAAATGTTCCTATTATAAGAAGGGAATTTCTTTCTGCCCATGACACAGGAATGAATGCTAAGTTTTACCTGACACCTTCCTGCAAGGCTGAGTCTCGTGTTAAACCTCCCTTGCTAATATAGCATAAATCCCTATTCCATCATGGCGATGACCTCGATGCTTTTCTCTCCTTCCTAAGCCTGAATAAATCACATTGGTTCTTCCTCTAGAGCACACCCCAAACACACCCTCTTTATTCACCTCTATCACCTGGTTCCATCCATTGTCATCTCTGACCTGTTCACAGACTGCTGCTGCCTCTACTTCTGCTCTCCCTCTCTCCACTGTCCACATACACCTTGAATGGCTGGCTGGCTGATTTGTTTCTCCTCCACGTCCTCCTTGTATGAGGAGTGGTTGTTCATTTATTCTAACCATCTTAAAAGGATAATATTCTATCAAAAATTATTAAATTTTAAACATGTCAATAATTTTCCTTCTTTCCCAAAAGGAAACCTAAGCAATAGTTTCAATGGCTAATTTAACCAAATATCTGAAAAAGAAATAACATCAATTCTACATAATCTTTTCCAGAAAATAGAACAAAATGGAATAACCTTCCCAAGTTATTTTATGAGGCCAGAATTCACAGATACTTGTACAAAGACAGTATGTTAAAGAAAATATCCTATATGAACATACATTCAAACATTCTCAACAAGCCATTAGAAGATCAAATCCACTAATACATAAATAATAACACTGTATGACCAAGGGGATTTTATCCCAGCAATGCAGTGCTAGTTCAACATACTGAATAAACAAAATCTACCATAATTATAGACTAAAGAAGGAAAATCACGTGACTATATGAATTTATACAGAAAAACAATTTAACAAATCTAATAATTCAACACACATTCATGATTAAAAAACTCTTGAAAAATTAGAAATACAAGGGAACTTCTTTAACTTGACAGAGTATCTACAAAAAGCCTACACATTAACAGTATGATTAAGAATAAAACACTGTATACTTTCCTTCTAAGATTAGAAACAAGGCAATGATGTCCACTCTCATCCTCTTACTCAAAGCAATACTAGTTCTAGCCAGTGCAATCAGGCAAGAGAAGACAACAAAAGGAATACAAATCAGAAACAGAAATTAACTGTCCCTGTTTATACCTGGAATGATTGTCCACAATCATGTAGAATCCTGAGAATTCTACAAAAACACAAAAGTAAATGTCCTAGAATTAATGTGAGTTCAGCAAAGTCTCAGCATACATAGTCAACTTACAAAAATCTGCTGCATTTTCCCCATATGAGCAATGAACACATGTATATAAAAATTAAAACTATAATTCCACTTAGAATCATCCCTTAGAAGTGAAATACTTGGATATTTGATATCTACATCTATGAAGATTTGCAAAGGACTTCTATGCTAAAATTTGGAAAAAATGAGGAAAGAAATTAAAAGGTCATGGATCGCAACAGAGTTCAGATGTCCATCTGACCCAAACTAAATGCAATTCCAATCAAAATTCCTCCCAGGATTTTAAATAGATTTATTAAAAGCAAAATAATTCTGAAAAATTATTTATTGTAAGTTTTTTACTATAAAGCTACATGGTGGGGCTGGGATTGTGGCTCAGTAGTAGAGCGCTTACCTAGCATGTGCAGGGCCTTGGGTTCGATCCTCAGTACCACATAAAAATAAATGAATGGAATAAAGGTATTGTGTACAATTAAAAAAATTAACATTTTTTTAAAAAAACCTACATGGTGTTAACAAAGGTATAATCAGTGGATCAGCAGAACAGATTGAAGATCTAGAAACACATCCTCATAAATATGTCTCTGTGTGGGGGCGGGGAATGTAGGGGTTTGAATCCAGGGCACTTTACCACTGAGCTATATCCCCAGCCCCTTCTATTTTAGTTTGAGACAAGATCTCACTAAGTTGCCAAAGCTGGCCTTGAACATGGAATCCTCCAGCCTCAGCCTCCCAAATTGCTGGGATTTCAGGTGTGTGCCCAGCTGTCCAACTGATTTTGATTTTTAATTTTAAAAAATTTGTCTTTTTAGATATACATGACAGTAGAGTATGTCCAACTGATCTTTGCAAAAGCAAATCAATGACAAAAGAATGTTCTTTTTAATGAATGATGTTAAACAATCTAGATGCAACGAACCCTAATCTATACTCTACATCTCATTCACACACTCACACACACGCACACACAAATGCAAGAGATATCTTAGATCTAAATGTGAAACTTAAAACTAGAGATAAAACATAGGAGAAAATCTTCATGACCTGTGTGCTTAGGCAAAGAGTTCATAGACATGATGCCAAAACTCACAATCCATAAAAGAAAAAAAAATTATAAATTAAACTTCATTCAAACTAAAAACTCAATATGAATGAAAAGATACTGTAAAAATCAAAAAGCAAGCTACAAATTTGGAGAGAAAATATTTGTAAATAACTTAACGATCAAAACATTTATACCTAAAATATTTAAAGATATAAATTCTCAAAATTCAAGGGTAATAAAACAACAAAAACCCCAATTTTAAAATGAGGATAAGACATGAACAGGTCTTTAGCCAAAAAGCATATAAATGGGAAATAAGCACACAAAAAATGCTAATTTTGTTAGGACTGAAGAAATACAAAATCAAAACATAATGAAATACTATTATGCATTTGTTAAGGAGAATCTTAAACAGGGGTAGGGATATAAAACTGAGAGGCAGAGTGCTTGCCTAGCATGGAAGACCCTCAGTCCCCAGCACCACAAAAACAAACAAACAAACAAACAAACAAACCCGGACAATACCAAGTGTTCTCAAGGAAGTGAAACATATATAACTCACATGCATTCCTGGCAAGAATATGAAATGGTAAAGTTACTACAGAAAACAGTTCAGCAATTTCTTACAAAGTTAACATACACTTATCATATTTATTCTAAAGAAATAAAACTTTCATTCACATAAAAACCTATCCACTAATGTCGGAAGCAGCTCTATTCATAATCCCCCCAAAATGCAAATGAATCAATGCCTTTAAGTGAATGACTAGACAAGCAAATTGTGCTGCATCCATACAATGATGGTATGCTGGTCAGCAATAAACAGGAACAAACTATTCAAACATGCAAAAACACCCATGAATCTATAAGGCATTGTGCTATGTGAAAGAAGACAGACAGTCTCTTAAGGTTAATATAGCATGATTCCTTTTATATGACATCCTGGAAAAGGCAAAATTATAGTGACAGAGAACATATTAATTGTTGCCAAGGACTAGGGGCAGGAGGAAGTTTGACTGCACATAGTCAGCACAAATAAATTTATTGGAATAATATAGTCATAACTGTGAAGTCAAACCACTCTATATGTGCATTAAGACTGGCCAAACTGTACACATGCATCTACACACACACACACACACACCCCACAGAGTTTCACTATATGTCAAGAAATATTTTTACAACAAGAAGTTATTGGTTTGAAAAATTTGCCTTTTCCCCTGCTTTCTCTGGCAACTATCTCATCCTCACGTCACTCCAGCTCTTTGTGAAGTCTTCCCCCTATGCCTCAGGGACAGTTAACCACCTGGACCATGTTTTCATGGTACTTTGTTCAGATCTCTAATCCTATGCTTACTTATCTTTCTTCCCCTACCAGACCATGTCCTCAGAAAATTAAAGTTGACCCCTCTTTTGGTTTGGATGTATATGTGTTCCCCAAAGGTCATGTGCTGGAAGTTTGGTCCAGGGATGGAATTCAGGACCTTGTGCATGCTAAGCAAGCATTCTACCACTGATGTGGTAGATCTTTAACAGGTCAGGCCTAGTGGGAGGAGATCAGGTTATAGGGTCATTAGCCTCAGAAAGGATTAATGTAGTTCTCAGAGGACTAAGTTAGTTCTCAGGAGAGCAGGTTGTTATAAGGCTACCCCACACACTTGCCCCTTTCTATATGCAGCCATTTCCCTTTCCATTTCTCTGCCACATTGTGATGCAGTCAGGAGGGCCCTTGCCAGATGCTGGTTCCATGCTGTTTGAGCTTTCCAGATATCATAATAATTAGTTGAATAAACGTCTTTTCTTTATAAAGTACCCAGCTTTAAGTGTTTTGTTGTAGCCACACAAAATGAACTAAGAAAATCCCCAAATAGTTTATAAATATGTAAACAAATACATATTGAATATTTGGCATATACTAGATATACACTAATGTTTATTTTTATATATTCATCTCAAATGACAAATAATTAGGATATTAGTACTACTTTATTTAATCATATTAATCACTCACCTAACATATGTAAGATTAAATCTAATAGGCAGTTGGAAGTCCAGCTGAATTGTAGCACATTGGTGGTATCTGCCAATAGCATCCTTGATTTTTATATCAATCTATAAATTAAACAATGTTTGCTTAGTGACAGTTGAAATTTTTCTTTTAAATTTTACTTTTTTTAATGCATACGATCCACTTACTTTAGGGCCATAAAATGCTCCATCTCCTGGGTTCATTTTCCATGGTTTTCCAAATTCCATCAAGCTATTCTGCAGTTGCTATTTTAAAGAAGAAAACATTTTAAACTTCTATTTTATTGCATATTTTATCTTTTTTCATATACCTCATAAAAATGAATTCAATATATCTTATATTTTACATTAGCTCAATATATATTTATTGAGTATCTTTTATATTCAATAGGGATTATAGAAAGATGATTAAGATGACACTTCTCTCAACATACATGCATACATTTTTTTAAATATTTATTTTTTAAGATGTACTTGGACACAATACCTTTATTTTATTTATTTTTATGTGGTACTGAGGATCGAACCCAGGGCCTCGCACATGCTAGATGAGCACTCTGCCGCTGATCCACAACCCTAGCCCCCACATATATACATTTTAGTTGGGGGGAAAAAGAGATAATTTACTAAATTATTCCAGTGAATTCCAGAGTTTAGAGAAAGGATGCTTGGGTCCTCCTTCCAATGCAAGTTCCTTCTGACAGCTTCTGCAACCTGGTGAAAGTCCAGGATCTGTTTCACCTTATAGATGGATGCTCCTCCACATATGAAAAGGCATGAGAGTCTTGCCCTTGCTCCCTCTTTCACGCTGTGTGGGTGGGTGAGAGAGCTGAATGGTAGGCCTTGCTACTTCTCTTTAGCTTCTCCTCCACTTCTGCATGTGTCTAGGGCTGGGGGCACCCCATGATTTATAGCAGTGTGTGGGTATGAGGCTCCACTTTGGTCTTCAGCCTAAGCCACTACCTCTCCACACTCTCTGCACAATTTGTGATGAAGATGTCCCACACTAAAGATGAGTGGGTGTCTGTAGTAAAGGGGAACTTTGAGTCTCCTGGCATTCCTGTGAATGCAGCTTTCCTAGGAAGAAACTGAGCATTCCTAAGATCTTGACCAGAACACTGTCAAAATAACAGCCAAACTCTTGTTATCACCCCAAAATACTGGTGCCCAGGAATGAGGCCTGACATCTGGGAGTGAGGTGCTTTTGGAGGAGACCAAGGCAGAGGTGGTGCACAGGGCCTGTGGCTAGAGTTATGAAGTCGTGGCATGCTCCCAGGACTTCAGTCAGAATATGGTCTTGAGAGAGACAGAGATGTCCTTCCTGAGGTCTGGGAGTGTCCCCTCATGCGCTGACCCTAACCTTGGCTTTTCAAAGCTGAGATGTGATGTCTAAGTCTGGGTGTGTTCAGGCATAGAGTGGGCTCTACAGCCTGGGTCTGACTCAAGCTCCATGAGCATGCATCTCAGGCAGAGACCACATCTCTGAGACTCTGAGTCAGCCTAAGGTAACTCCACAGGCAATGCTTTAAAATCAACTACACAAACCAAGACATACTGCAAATAAAAGGATTTCTTAAAAAATGTATGCTAGTTATTTGTGACTGGCACCAAATAAGGGTACAAATGAAAACCTGACATAAAGTTTTAAGTGTTAAACAAATGTTTTCATCATGAAGGCAACTGGACAAACACATTCTACAACCTGCATATTGATCCCATGACTTCTCGTTTTAAAATTTCTAGAGAAGTGCAGTTTCTTGAGTGCTTTTCATACCTACAAAAATGAAAGGGGAGCTTTTTCTTTCTCCTTACCTTTTCAGCTTCATCCCACATCTCAATTTCTCCAAGGTAGTTTTCTGGCCTTGTGGCCAGGTTTAATTGAAAGGAGAAGCCAAATGTTGAGTAAACTGATTGTAAAAACTGCAAACACCCCTTTATTTCTTCTTCAATCTGAAATCAGAGCAAATGAAATATTCAAATAGAACACCAAATTAAATTTATTTAGGACATTTAAAAAATTCTTCATATCAAATAAAGCCTGATTTTAATAGAGTACATATGACAGTATTTTGGTTGCCTATCCATTCCTGACTTGCATCTTCATTTGTGGGTCAGGCATATGCAGGATGCAGACAAGGACACCACATTGTGAGAAGACAGTGGTACACCCAGAACAGGAGGTAAAGAGGGCTGCCCAGAGGAAGTTAGGGCCACACTGTGGCCAGAGGCTGGGCAAGAGTTCTCTGTAGAGAGGCAGGGTGTGGCCAGTGGGTTCCCAGTCCAAGCAGAGGAAACACTGAGGGTGAAGGTCAAGGTCAGAGGAGCAGACAGTCAGGGAGCTTCTTACGATGCAAGGGAGAGCAGACAGGGATGAGTGGTATATGATGAGACTAGAAGTACGCAGGGACCAGAGAAAATAAAGTACCTACAAAGCCAGGGTCATGTCTGGATGTGTTACTCTGACAACAATGGGGAGCCAGTGAAAGGTTGAGGGGACTAATCTGAAACAAACTGTTCTTTTGCTGTATGGAAACTGACTGGCAAGGCTAGAGAAGTCTGTCAGGAAGCTGGTGAAGTTGTTCAGGAATGATACGATAGTGCCTTGAACCCAGAGAGAGCAGTCAGAATGCAGGGGATTGGTTTAAGAGGTATTTATCCTTTAGTTTTATGTGTCAACTTGACTGGGATAAGGAGTAGCTGGAAAAACATTATTTCTTATATTTGTAAGGGTGTATCTGGAAGTGGTTAGTATTTGAATCAGTAGACTCTGGGTAAAGATTTGTCCTTACCAGTATGGGTAGGTACTACACAATCTGTTGAGAGCCCCAAGAGAACAAAAGGGTAGAGAGAAGGCAAATTAAATTCTCTCCCGGACCCTTTCTTTTTTTTAATTTTTAATTTTTTAAAATTTTGATTTGTTATATATGACAACAGAATGAATTACATTTCATATTACACATTTAGAGCAGAATTTTTCATATTTCTGGTTGTATACAAAGTAGAGTCACATCCTTCATGTCTTCTTACATGTACTTAGGGTAATGATGACCATCACATTCCACCGACTTTCCTACCCTTATGCCCCCCTCCCTCTCTTCTTAAACTGGGACATCCATCCTTTACTATCCTTAGACATAGGAACTTCTGGTTCTTTGGCCCTTAGACTACGGGACTTACACCAGTTACACCTCTACTCACAGTTCTCAGGCCATGGGTCTCATATTGGTAACTAGGAATCACCCACCAGTTTTCCTGGTTCTCCCACTTACAGATGGTATGTAATAGGGCCTTCCTGGCCTCTGTAATCATGTGAGTTGATTGCCATAATAAATACCCTTCTGTATATCTCTATATATTCTATTGGTTCCCTTTCTCTGAAGAACCCTAATACAAAAAGTAATTGCCCTTGTATTAAGCATTATGCTGAATGCTGGGAATTCAAGAATGAATGCAACCATTCAGGAAGTAATGCTATATTTAGGGAGAGTGATCAATAGGTCTTATAGATTTTTCCCATTATTGTTCTATTTATTTCTACTTTAATTTCATTGTAGCTAGAAGAAACCTTTTATGATTCCAATTATTTCAAATTTATTGAGGTTTGTTGTATGGCTTAGGCTATGATTCATCCGGGTAATTCTATCCCTCCTTCCCTCCTTTCTTTCGCACTAGGGATTGAATGCAGGGGTGCTTTATCACTGAGCTACATCCCCAGTTCTTTTTTGAGACAGGGTTTTGCTAAATTGCTGAAAGTCTCACTAATATGCTGAGGCTGGCCTTGAACCTATGATCCTCCTACCTCAGCCTCCCAAGTCACTGGGATTACAGGTGTGCACCACCTGGCTATGTATAGTTTTCTTTAGTGGTTTCTCTAGGTATTATTTAACTATCACAATCTACTGATGCTATGATTTTACCAACTCAAGTGAGTGTAGAAACTTTACCTCCTTTTATCCTAGTCAGCTTGGACTGCCACAACAAACCATAGTTTGTGTGGCTTAAACAACAGAAGTTTGTCACAATTTTGGAGGCTAAAAAACCAAGATCAAGGAGATGGTAGATTCAGTTTACTGGTGAGGGCTTTCTTCCTGTCTTGCAGACAGCTGCCTTCTTATTGTGTCCTCACATGGCAGAGAGGATAGAGAGAGAGGCAGCAAGATCTCCTGTATCTCTTCATATAGCAGTATTTATCATATCATGAAAGCCCCACCCTTGTTCTCTCATATAAACCTAACTGATGTCCCAAACTCCATATCCAAATGCCATCTTATGTCAGGGGTGAGATGGGGTAGGGCTTCAGATATGAATTTTGGGGTGAAAAAGTAAGTTCATAGCAACATATTTGCAATATTTTCCCCACATTTTATCATATTTTGATGATATTATAAATGATTATTCTTTATTTTCAATTTCCAATAGTTCACTGCTAGTATATAGAAACAAAATTGATTTTTATATATTGATATTCCATACTACAATTTTTAGAAACTTAGTTCTCATAATTCTTTTGTAAATACAATAAGTTTTTTGTAGATGTCATCCATGACATACATGGTTATGTCATCTGCAAGTAAAGAATTTCAATTCTTACTTTCTAATCTGGATATTTATTTCTCTGTTTTGCCTTTTTTCTTTACAGAAATTGTCCAGTTTAGTAATCAATAATAAAACTAATGAGAGATGACATTTTTATCTTATTCCTAACCTTAGGGGTAAAGCATTTAAATGTAAAAAAATTAAACTTTTAAGTATGACATTAGCTATAAGTTTTTCACAGATGCCTTTTATCAGGTTGAGGAAGTTCCCTTCCATTCCTAGTTTCTTAAGCATTTTTATGAGAAATGAATGTTGAATTTTACTTTGTTAATTACAAACTAAGTAACAGTGGCTTATTTTCTATTGTTAAATCAATCTTCCATTCCCTGGTCAAGATAAATTGTCCTTTAAAATATTACTGGATTTAATGTGCTAAAATCGTATTTAGAAATTTTGACATTATGTTCATGACATTGGTCTACAGTTTTCTTTAACTGGCTCTGCTTTGCTGCACATCAGGGCAATGGTACCTCATAGAATGAGATGGTAAGCATTTTCAATTTCCTAGCAGAATCTGTCTAGAATGGGTATTATATCTTCCTTACTTTTTGGTAGAATTAATGAATGAAGCCACCTAGGACTGGAATTTTCTTTGTGAGAAGTTTTAAACTATTGACTTAATTTCCATAATGGTCAAAGAGCCACTCATTTATTTCTTCTTGAGTGAAGCTTGGCATGTTTTTCAAACATCTGTCCATTTCATCTAGGTTGTCAAATTTGTTGATACAAAATTGTTCACAATGTGCCCTATTCCTTTAACGTACAAAATCCATAGTGATGGTAATTCTCGTTCCTAATTTTTAAATTTTGTGTCTTATCTTTTTTTTCCTACATTTAACTAAAAGTTTATCAATTTCATTATCCTCTCAAAAAATCAGCTTTTGCTTTTTAGTAATATTCTCTATTATTTTTCTTTTTTCTATTCCAGTGACTGTTCCTTCAGCACTTTCTGTGTTAGCTTTCTGTTGCTATGATAAAATACCTGAAATAATCATCTTAAAAGGAAACAGGTCAGTTGGCTCCATTGTTTTGGGCCTGTGGTGGGGCAGACTATCATGGCAGGGAGCACATGGTAGAGCAAAGCTTCTCACATCATAGCAGCCAGGAAGGAGAGCCAGGGGCAGGGAAGAAAGAAAGAGAGATGCCAGGGTCCCAGTATTCCCTTATCTCCTTCAAGGGCATGCACCTAATGACCTGACTTCCTGCAGCTAGGCTCTACCTCCTAAAGATTCCACCAAATTTCAATACACCATCAACTGGGAGCTAAGCTTTCAACATGTGAGTTTCTCAAGGGCATTTAAGATCCACATCATAATAATTTCTTGCTCTGTTCTTTATTATTTTCTTTCTTTCTTTAATTTCCATTAGGTGTATTTAGCTCTTCTTTTTCTGGTTTCTTAAGTAGAAAATGAGGTGACTGATTTGAAACCTTTTATACTGTAGGTATACAGTGCTATAAATGTCCCTGTGTAAACCATTTTAATTTGTGATGTTTTTCTCATTTTCATTCAGTGTATAATATTTTCTGATTTCTCTCTTGATTTTTTTCTTGATATATGAGTTATTCTGAAGTGTGATATTTATTTTCCAAATATTTAGAAGTTTTACAAACAGCTTTCTGTTATTGATTTCTAATGTAATTCCACTGTGTTCAATGGAACATTGTTTTAATTAAATTCCTTTAAATTTATTGAGACTTGTTTTATGGCCCAGAATATCTTGGGAATATTCCATGCATACTTTCAAAGAATGTATATTCTGCTATCGTTCTATAAATGCCAGTCAGGTCAAATAAGTAATTAGACCTGAAGTGTTTGACAGTGACTCTCTGTCAACAATATTAATTTGAACTAAAAATGTAAACTCGGTAAGAATTTCTAGGCAATATTAAAAAAACAAAACATCCTGAATTCCAGTAAATCTTTAAAATAGTCCACTTAATAGAATTTGAGATAATAAAATAAGTAAAGGAAGCCAAAGGACAAAAATAATAAATCTCATGTCAGGAAATTATTGACCTATTGATGTTAATTAGATAATGACAGGATGTCAGAACTGAATGAGTTGAGTCCTTGCAGACTAAATGAAACATTTTATTTCACAGCAAATCTGAAACAGTAGGAGATGTGAATCCCTGATAGTCACGCTTCACCTTGTGTCACTGTTTACCTGCTCCACCGTGCAGAAGATATGAGCATCATCCTGCTGGAAGCGCCTGACCCGGGTTAAGCCACTTAAAGTCCCTGACAGTTCATTTCTGTGAAGAACTCCAAAATCAGCAAATCTAATTGGCATTTCCCTCCAAGATCGTGGACGATGAGCAAACATCAGACTACAAAAGATACATGAAACAGTTTTTACATAGCATAGAAAATAATTATTATCTAAATATTAAGAAATTACAATTAAGCCTCAATATTTGTAAACTCCTTATTCTGGTTCTTAGATCACTATATTAAAAATGCTCTTCTAGGCTGGGTTTGTGACTCAGTAGTAGAGTACTTACCTGGCACGCATGAGGCACTGGGTTCGATCCTCAGTACCATATAAAAATAAATAAATGAAATAAAGGTACTGTACCTGTCTACAACCAAAAATATTTTTTAAAATGCTCTTCTATGGATTATTATTTATTTATTTAGGTGCTGAGGATCTAATTTTGAAAGGCCTCCTGTGTGCTAAACACACTCTCTACCACTGAGCTAAGCCTCTAGCCCTCTTCTAGGAATTTTTGAATCTTAAGTTTACATCACTGCAGCATTCTAGAAAGAATCTCATTATGTCTTACAGAAATTCTGACTTCATCCACCCAGTAAATCTCCACTTGAAATTTATGATTCATTTCCAAGGCTACTTCTTAAGTGAAGCCCTCTGGACACTTCTCCAAATAGGACTGGTCCATCTCTTCTCAGGCTCCAAGAACACCTCAAACATATAACTGTTACGGCACTGGTCTTTTTAAATAAGTGATTGCCTACATATATGTTCCTGCCCCCTATGCATGTGAGCTCCATGAGGAAATAGACTATATAAATCACCTTTGCATTTCTAGCACCAAGCTCAGGAAGCATCCAACTAGTGTTCTCTGTTGAATTCTCTTCTGCAGAAAGCACTCCTGAATACCTTATTCCATTGCTACAGGCTTCCTTATTCTGAAGCCTGAAGATGCAAAATACCTTCTCTATAGTCACTTAGCCTTACTTATAATTAGAGTTAAAATTGCAGGCTACAGGTTTAAATAATACCTGGTGGCAAAGTTAAGAAGGTGTTAATGTAAATGTTTTAGAGAGCGTGGGACACTAGCTTAGTCTCTCACCTTCTGTTTAAAAAAAAAGAGACTGAAGACTATTAACATACCAGTTTTCATAACATTAAAGTTATATATATTTTAACATGCTGTCATCTTCAAGTTAAATTTCTTTTAATCTTTACTAAAAAAGGGCAAGGAACTTTCTTTAATGTTCCAATATTTGTTTAAATAGTTAGCTTCTAAGGTTAATTTATTAGAAACTAAGTATGTTGGTAAGACAAAACCATAATAGGTGTGTGTGTGTGTGTGTGTGTGTGTGTGTGTGTGTAGAATTATGTCTATTCACTTCTAGCTGTAAAATCTGCTTGTCTTCAAGGTTGAATTTATAAACCTACTTTATGATAATTACAGTCTCTCATAGAATCAAAAACAACATTGGGTATAAGATATACCTTTATTTTATGTACTATTAGGAAATAGAGTGACCTATGATTTACTTTGTGACAAAATATTAAGATGCCACCAATTATAAGATGCATCCCAAATTCAGAGAAGTTGATATAAGGAGGGAAAAAGTACCTTACAATCAATGAAATTCAGAAAACCATTTATTATGACCTCAATGTTTTTGTTATAATAACCCAAACAGTACATAGAACTATTTGCAAATATGTATATCTGAAATATATTACTATTAAGAGGACAAATATAATTTTTAAAATTGATACTGTTCTCTGAGAAGCACAAAAACTAAATGGTTTCCAGTTAGCATTCCATGCCTGCTGAATATCAAACATACTTTCATTCTCCAGAATGAAAATAACTAGATAAAGATGATTAGTAACCATCATTCTTCAGATTAAAGTAACCATTTAAATCTAAAAAGCAAAATAATAGTAACAGCTAATTATGATGAAGTGTGCTGTGCACTCTTATGCCATATCTTCTCCACTTTTAATACTTACCAGTGCCCTGGACAATTCATGGGTTTGAGAGCAAAGGTGTCCTTTTCAATATCAAAGGTGAACATGTTCTCACTGTAATGCTGCCAGTGGCCCGAGGCTTCCCAGAGTTTACTGTTGTACATGTTGGGAGAGAGCACTTCCGTGAAGGTTCGTTTGTGATACTCCTCCTTTAAGATAAGAGTGTTTAATGTTAAAATCTGCTAGGAGAGATCACAATTCCATGCAGTACAACACTATGATTAAACTTTTTAAACTAAGGATCATGATTCACATGTGCTCAGTTTTAGATGTGGTGTTTTCTATATCATGAAAAAAAAAAGATTCACATATGCACAGTAAAATTTTCACTAGTATATTTATCTTATGTACAAAATAGTGTATAATATAAATGTTATAATTCTTTGTAAATTAGTAATTAAAATTCAATATCCATAGAAACTTTCTATAACTAAAAACTTCAAAGCCCTTCTGCATTCTAGATAAACAGCAGGGGCTTTTTCCCCCTATTACTTAAGAGGTAGGAAAAATTATACAGTTTAATAAGTCTGAATGTTTAGTGTCATGTTACAGTTTTGATCCATTTAAGTTTTAGACAGAAATGAAATTGAGAATTTTAATTTCTCAATTTTGACATGTTAAGTAGCTAATATCCACTAAGTCAGAAGCTGACTTCTCTCCCTATTAACAGTTTCCTTCATTAAATCATGGTAACAGAAGAAGAGAGTTTGTCAAGTAAAGTTTTTATTTTATTGATACCTTTTCTTCCCCCTGCCTTTGTCAAGATATCAATGTGATGATCTTTGTTTTTATTACATTCTCAACATTTGTAAATCAAATGGACATTTGGTAAACATGTTGACCACCATACTTTTGGCAAGTTAACAGAATTTAAAATTTATAAAAGACATTTTAAAATGATAATTTTGGATTACTGAAGGTACTGAAGCGTTATTTATACCTGGCCACTTGAAAACCCCTAAATAGCTCCTATATCAGTGTCATTTCAAAAAAAGAAAATAGTTTTCAAGCAGGTTCTCATTACAAAAGCTAAAGCAATTCCACATGAACAGCTTCTTCCCAAAACCCCATTAAAATAATTATAAAGAAAGTTTTTATATAAGTGTTAATTTACAAAGATAGAAAAGCAGAATTGAAGATGAGTGCTGGGATACTTTAGAAACTAGAAAGTAGGAAACAAATAACAATTGCCTCAGAAGACCTGGGAAAGCTGTGACTAGGCTGGCAGTGGGAGAATCCCAGGAGCAAACTTGGTCCAGATGTTAATATAAGTATCTTGGCTTCACAGTTTTAAGGCTTTGAATGTGAGGTGTTCCCCAAAAGCTCCTGTATTAATGCAGGAATGTTTGGAGGTGAAATGATTAGATTAAGAGAGCTGTGATTTAATCAGTTCATCCTGGTTTGGATGGACTGACCAGGTTAGTATGGCTGAAGGAGAAGAGTTCCTGGGGTTGTACTGTTCCCTGTGGCCTCTTCGCCCCTGTCTTCTCTCTTCTTTGGACCCTATAATCTGAGCTGCTTTCTTCCACCATGATGTTCTGCCTTAGCTTAGGGCCAAAGCAATGGAGTCAGCCATCTATGAACTAAGACCCCTGAGACTGAGCCAAAGCAAACTTTCCCTCCTAAGTTGTTCTTGTCAGGTAATCTGACCACAGTGACAAAAAAACTGACCAACAGTGCTTGTCTTCTGATTTTTAGTTTTCTGTTGAGAATTTTAATTACATTTTGATACCCAGTCCTATGTCTCTGGGAAACTTTTAGGATCTTTTCTTCATCTCTGGAGCTTTGGTATCTCTCAAATAATGTGTGTCTTGGTGACCAAGAGAAGAAAGCTTGCACTAGTAAATTTTGACATACTTCTGTTGAGGGTTTAGGCTGTCCCTTGCTCATTCTGGGTTCCCTTTGCTAAGGAACTAACAGGCAGAGAATGACTTACTACTCTGTGAAGATGACCGATCCTGACTACTGGGTTGATTGTGCTGCCGTCATACAGTGGAGTAAGGAGGGCTGTGTCTGGGATTCAGTCAAAACCCTTAATTATTCCCACATCCAACAATAATAGTGGGGAACTCTTTTATAAAGACAGAATTATTAAGAACTTAGATCATATGAGAAGATTTAGGCTATCCACTATTATGGCTTGAATTGCATCCTGCCCCAAAAGACATTATGAAGTCCTAACTCCCAGCACTTCAGGATGTGGGAACAGTGTCTTTACAGAGCTAATCAAATCAAAATGAGGTCCCTAGCACGACTCCTCATCCAATATGTCTAGCATCCCTATAAAAAGGGGAAATTTGGACCAGAGACAGTCATGCACAGAGGGAAGACATGTGAAAACAGAACAGGAGAAGGCCACAAGAAACTGGAGGACTGGAGTGACAGCTTCTACAAGCCAAGGAACACTACAGATGGCTGGCAACCCTCATGCAGTGAGGAAGAGGCACAGAAGGATCCTCTAAAGGTTTTGGAGGAAACATGGCCCTGAGGACATCTGGATTTTACACTTCTGGCCTCTTAAATAGTGAGACTATGAATTTCTGTTATTTAAAACTGTTTGTTTAAAACTCTAGGAAACTAACATACCTACCACTAAAACTGGCCATCTGAAGTGCCAGTGGAACATGGAGAACATGGATGGGGTGGCAGAAGGAGGAAGCTCTGATTTCTCAGCTCAGGCCCATGTCTACCTACAGAGGCTAAGGCTGCAGTGGTAGCATTTAATTATGTCTTGTCTTTGCTTTTTTACCTGAAGAGCGCTAATGATGGCTAAACACACAATTTAGATTTTGGGTGAAACAGAACTGACAAAGCCAACATGATGATGATGATACAATGGCGGATGGGACTTTGTCTAAAGACACAAATATTTTCACTCAAACAGGGCACAAAAATGGGTACAGGGAGGCACAAGAGATACCCATGTTGGTTATTCTCAACTTGCCACTGTCTGTCTTGCCCAGGCTGACTTAGACATTCCAGCTATGATGGTTGTTTACTCTGTGTTGGCTTGACTGAACCCTGGTGCTCCCAGATTGAAAACTGCTTCTGGGCATTTCTCCAAGAGTTTGTTTGTTTGTTTGCTACTGGGGATTGAATTCAGGAGCACTTGACCACTGAGCCACATCCCCAGCCCTATATTTTGTATTTTATTTAGAGACAGGGTCTCACTGAGTTACTTAGCGCCTCACCATGGCTGAGGCTGGCTTTGAACTCACAATCCTCCTGTCTCAGCCTTCCAAGCCACTGGGATTACAGGCATGTGCCACTCTGCCCAGCTTCTGAGAGTTTTCCTGGATTATAGTAGCTTCTGATTTGGTGGACTTATTAAAATCACCCTCCCAAATGTGGATGGGCATCATTCGATCTGTTAAGCACCTTAACAGAACAAAACTGTGGAGGAAGGAGGCTATCGCAGTTTTTGCTTCCTGCCTGCCTGTGGACCCTCTGACCCTTGGACTCAAATTTACACCATCAGCCTCCTGACTCAGGAGCCTTCAGACTCAGACTGGAATCACACCACCAGTTTGCAGGTGGCAGAGAATGGGATTTCTCAGTTTCCGTGATTATGTCAGCCAGTTCCTCACAATAAGTCTCTTCCTCTCTTTACATCCTTCTGGTTCTATTTCTCTAGAGAATCCTAATATATTTGGCTTCTGATAATTCTGACTAATATTTGCCTTCTGACTTCTAACTGGATTTGACTAATGAGAAGCTCTGAAAGAATTCAGAAGGTAGAAGAAGAGAGAGGTCAGGGTACTTATTCCCTTTCCCCAGTGTTTTCTTGCCTTGGGTTTATTTTGGTCCTGGCTATGTTCTATAGTTACGGTTTCCTTTACATGGCTTCTCCTCCCTTGATCCAGCTCGCTCTGATTTCTGGTACCACTATTGCTTCTCCTTTCCTCTTCAGGACTAGAGATAGAGGGTGAGGGATTCCTGCTGGTTTTGACCCCAGGGTGCTCTACTATCCGCCCCTTATAAGTCACCTTAACTGGGCACATACCTTTGTAAGTATCTCCTTCACTACACCTTCTTCAGTTAAACCCTCTGAGTGCCTGGGTCAGGACCCTCTCTGCACAGGTAAATACACTGAGACTTCACATTATCTGCAAAGAAATCTACTGAGTCAAGGGTCATGGGGAGAGGAAGCAGACATTCTCCAAGAGGAGCCACTTTCCTCTCCACTCCATGGCTCTAGACCATGCAATGAGTCAAGCGGATTCTGGGAAACTCAAAAGATGTGTCTGTGGAAAGTTTCACAAAAGGAACCTCATATACTGCTGGCAGGAATGTAAAAAATAGTCTCCTTGGAAAACAGTTTGGCAGTTTCTTACAAATGTTAACATAAATTTGCCATATGATTCTGAATTCATACTCCTAAGTACTCAAGTAAAATGTAAACTTTTTAGTTTAATGAGCTTAATTGGCTTTATTTTCTATTCTAAAACCAAGTCAATACTTGAGTCCATGAAAGAATAAGAGCTCTGAAGACCAAAGCAAAGGAAGTTGGTTTTATGGATAGAGAAAGACTGAAAAAAGCAAAAACAAAACAAAAACTGGTCATTTCAAAGTTATTTCCCTTGTAAAGAGGGTACAGGGAGACAGAATAGAAATTAACTCACAAGTTAACATTCAGTTATTTCCGGTTACTTATCTTAAATATTAAAGCACAGGGAAACTTCATTATTATGCCAATTAAAACTGGCCTTTTTGGAAATTTGGATGTTATCTCTATAATCCTGATTTCTCTGAAAGTGAGATAAACAGAATAGTTTCAGCTTAGAACTTCAGCTCAGTGGCTCCTTTTGATTCTTTAGTCTGGTCTGTGGGGGCCTGGTACAAGAGCTTAGTCCAAAACAATTGCTGTATAATTTTTATTTGAGAAGTGAGAACTTATGTGTACCAAAAGACATGTACAAGAATGTTAATGACAGCTTCATGTCTAATAGCTACAAACTGGAAACAACCTAAATGTACACCTGAAAATGAATCATTGTGTATATTACATTTATAAAATGGAATATCTAAAAACAACACAAAAAAGATCACAACTATGACAACTTGAATGAATCTCAGATATTAAGCTGAACAAAATAAATGTCAGAAACACAAGAACAAATACCGCATGGTTCCATTTAAATGAAGTTAA